ATCCTCATGGATATCAAGACTCGACTGGAGCAAGAGATCGCTACTTACCGACAGCTGCTGGAAGGGCAGGAGTCCCAGTAAGTAACCCTGCCCACTGCAGAAACCTTTGGGCTCAGCCTGACACAGTCTGACCACGCCACGGTGCTCGCTTGCCACAGCACCACAGCAAACACCACTTCAGAAACTCCTGGGGTTCTAAAGTCTTTAACAAATTAATTTTTCTAGACCGTGGTGGAGCTAGAAATGTTAGAATCCCCATTGACACTGAGTACCTCGAAGAGTTTCTAAACAAAAAGGCAAACTGACCAGCAGTACAGGAGGTTCAGTCCAGCTAACAGCCAGAGCGAGAGCTAATCCTCAGCTGCCTGACAGGCAGGAAGCATCGTGCAGTTTGTAACGTTCTGCAGAACAGAAAGATTAACGCCAAATTGCCATAAACTTCCTGTTAGCAGTTAAACAGCTCTGGCCTCTCAGGAATCAGCGTTAGAAGAGCAATGGAGGCAGACAGTCAGCTATTTCCAGCCAGCCACCCAGTGACCTCCCAGATGGGAGCACAGCTCGCTCTCACCTCACATACAGCCTCAAGGGGAGAAACATCTCATAGCCTGGGAAAAAAATGACGTAGGAGTTGAAATGTTTAAATTTCCTTTATTCCTTCTTGTCCATAATTGTCTTTTCCCATGGCAGTTGTTCAAAAATATATTTCCTACAACAACTCCCCCTCCTGAGCTGAGAGGGAGGGCGAGGAGGTGACGTTCTCTTCTCCTCTCTGACTACATACAAAATGTACCTGAGAGAGAATCTGCTTCCAGACATCCTCATCTCCCGCAGCATTTGATGTGTTACCTCTCTTTACAACTGTTATCTCTTTGTTCTACAGGATGTCTGGCTCCCTTTCCGGAACTGCTGGTAAGAACCCTTTCTCTTTAAGGAAACCTTTAGGAATCAAGGAGGTTTTATTGTCTAACAGGAAATGCACATACATTATGGTAGTTGTGTCCATGTTAGAGGCTGGGCTGCTGCACTGACCTGTGTCACAGAAAAAAAACTAGTAGCTAACAAATGGTGATTCTGGCTCGAATTTAAGAAATTTCAGTCATTAAAAGATGTTAGACATCAGAAAAAAATCTCCGACTCTGCTACAGTAAAGGCTAAGTAAAGCACAAAATGCTTAATCATTCCCTCAGGTGACAGGATACAAGAAATTTCAGCGTGGCCAGCTCAGGGGAATTGTATGAACATGCAAGTGAAACCTGCCTCGAGCTTTTAAAGGTCAGCTGCATTGTAAAAGTGATGTATGATTCAAATCAGTGCCACGAAGAAGAGAACTTCCGAGAGAAGGGAATGAGAGACGAGACATAAACGAAGCTCAGCGCTCATTGCAGAGGGGTCTCATGCACGTTATGCTTAACTAACCCCTGTTCTTTCTCTCCGTATTATTGCAGACAAGAGGGACAAGCCGAAGTAGAACTGGGAGTCCTCCAAATGTCATCTTCAAAATGAGAAAAAGCAAAGAACACATAGGAATTGAAACAGAGAGGAGTCACTCTAAACTGCTGGAAATTGCTACCTTAAAGCATAGAAAATACTTGGCCACACAAAGTTTAGGTAGATTAATCCATTTAGTGGTGATTAATTTGCAAATTGGGTTGGCTTTTCAATTATTTCTAGTTCTTGCATGTACTGATTTGCTGTATCTACTCTAATAAAGATCATCTTCTTCTTGCAATCTTCACTTCTTTTTGGTTACTGTGACATTGTTACTGAAGTTTGGCTGTAATCAGATAGGAAGCAGCCAGCCAGCCTCCCCGACAGGTTAATGCTCAGGGTCTGTGGGTGGCTTGAGCTCTGATTTCTGCCACCTCCTCTTGGTGGCAGGAGCTCTGCATATGGAGGCAGCAGCATCCTCAGCCCCTCAGAGCGGGGAAGACACGGGTGACTTCTAACCATCCCTCTGTGAGCTCACAGCCAAGGAAACTTTCCGGGGCTTGTGCTAAAAGAAAATCACGGCTGCAGCCTAACTATGCCGTTCCCAGCTCCCGCTGTTCCAAAAGGCACACAGCTGGTGAGTGCGGGGTGGACCTGAACCCGCAGCACGCCTGGGCTATGGGTACCCCCGTCCTGCGCTCCCGCAGCGTGGATCTCACAGCCTGGGTTTCAGGGAGGCGTCAGCACATCCTTCAGCACTCCTCTCCTTGGACTCGGGAGGGAATCATTATTTCTCCTTTGTTCAAAAGAGCTTAGTGGCGTGTTTGCACAGCAAGGAGCACCCCAAAGCTACGGACCTCCTCTATCGAGGTTGGGCAATTCTCTTCAATTCAATAGGCCTGGCCCTTGGTTTTGGTTCAGCGGTGACTCAGGTGACCCCTCAACTTCAGCTGTCGAGTGCTGACACAGCCGATCCCAGCTGAGCCTCTGGAAATCCAGCATGACAGCATTAGGCAGTGGCTTCACTGTGACAGGAAAGAGTCACAGAAAGTAAGAATCAGCAAAGAACTAGAGAGCAGAGGACGAGATGGGAGGACAGGGGCACTACGGTGCGCTGGTGGAAACACGTGCAGAACGGAAAGGGAGCGGTGGCACAAAAGCACTGGCCCACCTGGGACGCACGGGGTTCTGCAGAAGCTCACCCATTTGTACAGTGTCCGCTTTTGGAAAGGCAAGGAGAAAGCTCTTGTGCATGAGGTGCTTCAGTACAGGCTGTTCCTGAGTGCTGACACACTTTCTAATAACTGCAGATTTATTCCCTACAACTGTTAGACCTGGGATCCCTCTGTCCTGGTTTCGGCTGGGACAGAGTTTCTACATAAAACTAGACCTAACTTGACATTCAGCTCCAGGTCTGTTTCTTAATCTTTAACAAATCCCACTCCCTGAGCACAAGTCCTTGTGACAAAACCAGTCAGGGTATGAGATTACTGGTGCACACTTCTTGTGTTGTATAGCTGCAAATGTGAAAGTCTGACAAGAAATTCTCATGCTCCAAGAATGCAAAATGTAAGTTATAAGGACACTTTACAGATGTACATTCTAAGCAAAAAGCTCTCTTTTCAAAGACTGAGTTAAATGCACGTTTAGGAAAAAAAAAATGTTTAACAGGTTAGCAGCTTAAAAGTGTCTAAGAGGTTAAAAGTGCCAAGAATGGAATGCATTCATAAACCCTGCTAAAGAAATAGACCAACAAAAGCTATAGAAATCAATCCCATGAGTGAGTGAATTCTGGAGGCACAGAGGGATGTGCCAGCCGCCTGCTCTCAGAGCAGGGGTACAGATACATTTACCATTTCTCTTTCAGCAGAAGAGCCAACGTTGACAAGTAAGCAAGCTCTCAAAAAATGAAGTTTTTTCCCTTTAGGAAAATACCTGTGTAGTTGTCTGCAAGTGCTGCACTCTGCATTCACAAGCTTTGGATCGTGACGGACACACCCTAAGGGTCTGAGTCTGATGGTTTACAGAAAATTGAAAAAGCCTCAGAATCCCCACCACTACGGTTTTCTGAATTCTGTTATAGGATATAATCTGCTGCTTGATTTATTTTTATTTTTGCCAGTGGTAGACCTTGTACAGAACAGAAACAGCTTTATATCTGCTTCGTGCTTTTGATGAGTGTCCAGCTGATGACACCCCAGAGTAACGCACGGGGGAATTTAAAAAGCAGCAAAGTGTATCTGACCAGCAAGCTGCCAGAGAAGGTACAAAGACACAAAGAGTGAAAGAAGACTGAGTGAAAAATCCCCAAAGTTTCCTGTTAGAGTTTACGGTGTTTTCTACAAGTGATTTTGTTGGATTTTTTAAATGGAATTCAATCCTGATTATTGTGGGATCACAGAGTCAAAGCGACCCCAGCGGCATGCACCTCGGGATCCTTACACTACAAGGGTCTCACAGAAACCTTTTCATCTTGAGGAGATTCTGTCTAAACTTGTTTCCTGACACCCTATCTCTGGGAGACACACAGATTTGGCAAGCTACGTAGAACCATTAATCTGCCCAACAGCAAAACCGAACTGCTGTGGCAAAGGTCCAGGTGCAGTTTGAAACATGTTTCCACAAGGGTGGAACACTGTCGTTGCTCATCGGCTGCAGAATGAGTGGACATCCCCTGAACCAGGCTGTGAAGCTGCATAGCACAGATTTTTGATGTTCCCTTCTTATTTTCAGGAATTACTCCATTCCACAGTGCATACTGGCATTAAACGCATTTATTGCTATCTGAGCAGTTCCATCTTAAACCCACTTTGTTTATGTTTTCCAAAAGTAACAGGAACTTAGTCCTTCCACATTTCTTCTTCTAATTGAATTATTTCAGTCTTGTATCACCCTTCTTGACTGTTTCACAAGCAGTAGTGAATTAACTGTGCCCACTCTTCTTTGTGCATTGATGGACGCTAACTGTTCCTCATACGATGCCATAATTATATGTTTTTTAAAATTCAGATTCCAAAATCGAAATATTAGTTCCAAGCAAAGAACATATCAAATTGAATCCCAAAATTTAAATGGGAAAAAATATGGAGAGAAAAGAAGAAATAATGGTGGGATGAACTGATGATTGCACATTTTTCAATTAAAGGTGAATTTCACTTAAACTTCATTTTTAGAAAAAGTTTGTTTTCTGAAAAAAACCATGGTGACTGCTGTAAATGGGTAAGTGGGTGTGGTTGAACTCACTTTGTTTTTCCATTCTTAAATGTCAGAGTAGTAAACTCCAAGTTTCAGAAGTATAGCCTGAAGAAAAAACACTCATCTGAATCACCTCTTTTGTTTAATTAAAAAAGAAAACCCCAGCCCTAGCCCCTGAGACACACAGCCAGCTCTCTTGGTGAGTAATTGGCCTCACCTCTAGGGAGGAGAATTTTTGGAGGGAGGGCTGCAGGCTGGGTTTGTCTCCAACATCCCATCTTGAGGCTATAAAAGGAGCACCAGGGCAGCGCAGGCACAGACTCTCCTCTTCTACACCGAGCTGATACCTGACCTCAGCGCCTCCCTGTGCGGCAGCTATGGCCACTTCCTTCATGCGCAGCTCTTCTTCTACCTACGGGGGTGGCTTTGGGGCTGGTGGAAGCAGCAGCTCTCGCCTTTCCTCCGTGCGAACAGGAGGAACCTACCGAGCCCCAAGCATCCACGGGGGCTCGGGGGGCAGGGGTGTCTCCATCTCTTCAGCTCGGTATGTCTCCTCTGCAGGGGGTGGATACGGTGGGGGCTTGTACTCGGGCTTTGGTAGTGGTTACGGAGGAGGCTACGGTGGCTTTGGGGGTGGTGCAGCCTGTGGCTTTGGTGGAGGGGCTGGATTTGGTGGAGGGGCTGGGTTTGGTGGAGGTTTTGAAGTTGGCGGTGGCTTTGGTGGTGGTGATGGCCTTCTCTCTGGAAATGAAAAGATAACTATGCAGAATCTGAACGACCGTCTGGCTTCGTACCTGGAGAAGGTACGAGCACTGGAAGAGGCAAATTCGGATTTAGAAGTTAAAATCCGAGACTGGTATCAGAAGCAAGCTCCCACCAGCCCAGCCCGGGACTACAGCAATTATTACAAGATAATTGAAGATCTTCGAGACAAGGTATGACATTCATATGTAGAGGAGTTAACAGAATGCATTAGAATTGTGGAACTGCATACTCCACTTCTGTAAAATAAACTAAAATAATTACAAAATAAATACTGAATTCCCTGAGCCCAGATGGTGTTTAAGAGCATTCTAGCAGAAAAGAGTAGCTTCTTATTGATTTAAAAAGCAAATACGTTATCCTGAAAATGTGATGTTTGTTGAAATTAAAATGACTGCACTAAAACTTAGCAAAACATGGCAAAATGTGTTTAGAATTATCAAGATATTTATTCAGTAATCAAATAGTGCAGAATGTGATAGGGAGGCCTCAAAGTCTGAAAAAATAGTTCTCCTAGCTATAGATAAGATCAGGTGTTATACAAACCTATTTCCTAATTATGGTTCTAATTTGTTTGACACAAAGGTATCTCAGCTCCCTGGTTTGCATACGGAATGTGGAAAAGAGCTTAGTGTTTTTGGGTTTTCTCCATAGCAGCTGTAAGAATTACAGTGTGACCAAAGAGCAACAGAAACATTGAGATGGCTATTGCAATCCCAAAAGCATGGTTAACCAGCGACATCCATTTTTTCCTACCCCCTTTGATGGTTTACAGCATCAGTAACTACCCACCATGCACTCAGGACCATGAGATTTCACCATTATTCTCAGGAACTTTTTTCTGTGTTTCTTAATTGCCAGATCCTCGCAGCTACTATTGACAACTCCAGAGTCATTCTGGAGATCGATAACGCCAGGCTGGCTGCAGATGACTTCAGACTGAAGTAAGTTTACCTGGCGCACATTTGTCTTCTCTCTCCTTGTCTCTCTCTCGCAAAACAGTTTTCTGAAGTTTACTGTTGCTCTTTATCTAGAAAATAAAGTTCTTTAGTCACTGAAGGACACATTTTGAAATTATGGATAGGTATTTTTCCTTCATAACTTCTGATGAGGAAAACCCTGGCAAAGAGACTCGATGGGATGAAGGATCAATTCGGAATATAAATCTGATAGAACACACTGTCCAGACCACTGAGCTGTTAACATAAATTATAGTTCATGTCTTAGTTTTTTAGTGATGCTCTTAACTATTTCTACTAGCCTGAATCACAGGGGAAAAGACGAGAGGAAGAGGTTGGGATTTTCACCTAAAAGGAACAGAGTGGCATGAAGAGATCACTGTTCGCTTGCAGTGGTTCTCTCTGACAGAGTCCGAAATTTAGAAAAGACAAAGAGTAATCTGGGGCTTATCCAGCTCACGGCCTCAGCAGTACATCAGACACTGCTGAAGGGATGACAGAGATACTTGGGCAACAGATTTCTCCTGCAGTGGCGTCCCTGCGGGTCTGTATTTTCTCCTCTGCTGTCCCAGGCAGCACTGGGCAGCCTGTGCTCTCTCCACACCAAGCTTGAGGGGACGCTGCACACGGACTGTGTCCTGGGTAAGAACTTTTCTACTGATGCTGACAATCATTATTAGGTTCTGCAAAGGAAAATGTCACGTGCTCCTCAAGAAGAAAATCAGACGGCGATGCATGTACTTTTGTATATCATAGGGGGGTGTTGGAAAAAAAATCTTTACTCCCTTCACACTTCTTTTCAATATGTGTGGTTCCATCTATAGCCCACTGGTCCTTCCACATTCAGTATGAACCATCACAGGGTTACAGCTCTACTGAATACAAACTCGTACGTATTCCAGCGCTTGTTTCTTTTTTAAACTGCAGATATGAAAACGAGCTGTTCCTGCGCCAGAGCGTGGAGTCTGACATCAACGGGCTGCGCAGGGTCCTGGACGAGCTGACCCTGGCCAGGGCTGACCTGGAGATGCAGATCGAGACCCTGAAGGAGGAGCTGGCTTATCTCAAGAAGAACCACGAGGAGGTGAGAGTAACCAGGCAGAGAGGAAATCACTTCGCTCTGGAATTCCTGCCTCTAGGGCGGGGAGGAGGAAATCCAAACAAAAAAGCCAGAATGACAATGTTACAGCTTAATAAGAAGAAAACTGTAAAAGAATGGAAAGTGTGTCCTGCAAAGCAGTTCTCTGATTCCAAGCTGTTCAGACCTGTTAGTCTGACATCCACAAACACATGACAGACCCCTGGGACAGTTAAACCCAGGAAAAGAAGCACACATGTGAGGTACATGTCAATATGTGTGTGAGTGCGAGTGTACAGATAGAAAAGCGTGTGCGAGGAGAGATCAAATTTGATGAACATTTTTATGTGCATTCCAGCTCCGATATTAAAGTACTGTGCCCCGCTGCACGGATTGCTGGTGGCAGAAAGCATGTGAGAAGAGAGAGCCTCATCTTCTCTGTGTCCTCTGCCCTCTGCCCACGCAGGAAATGAAAGAGTATTCCAACCAGCTGAGTGGAACAGTCAACGTGGAAATGGACGCTGCTCCTGGCATCGACCTGACCAGAATTCTCGCTGAGATGAGGGAACAGTACGAAGCTCTGGCTGAGAAGAACCGTAAAGACGCTGAGGCCTGGTTCTTCACTCAGGTACAGTTACGCTGACGGGATGGCAGATGGGATGGGCCCTCCGTTTCTCAAAATAATTGAAAAATTTTAGACGAGATGTATGTGATTTTCCAGTTGTGTTCTTCTTTCAGACTGACGAGCTGAACCGTGAAGTGGCCACCCACACGCAGCAGATACAGACCGGGAAGTCGGAGATCGTAGAACTGAGACGCACGGTGCAGGGCCTGGAGATCGAGCTCCAGTCGCAGCTCAGCATGGTACGGAGCTGTCCCAAGCACCCACCAGCCACCCCCAGCACACCCTCCCTTCCTCCCTCTGTGTCTGGCCCCTCCTTAGACTCCCCCTCTGCGGGACAATCTCCCTGCTAACTGTTCTGGTGTCATCCCGCTTCAGAAAGCCGGGCTGGAAGCCAGCCTGCGAGACACAGAAGGGCGATACTGCGCCCAGCTGGCTCAGATCCAGGCGCTCGTCACCAGCGTGGAGGAGCAGCTGGCTGAGCTGCGATGTGACATGGAGCGGCAGAACCAGGAGTACAGAATGCTCATGGACATCAAGAGCCGTCTGGAGCAGGAAATCGCCACGTACCGCCGGCTGCTGGAGGGCCAGGACTCTCAGTACGTTACTGTACACACATCCTACGATGATTCGATAAGGGCAGTAAGATGACACATTGTAAAGCAGTAATTTGTGGTTGCCACGCTGACTCCAGATTACCTAATTACAGGCACCGCGTACGCAGCCTTTGAGTGCTGGCAAAACAGATGCCCGGCAAAGTCCCAGACACTGCTGTCTGCACAGGGAATTGTTTTTGAGTTCTGAGGAGGAATCATCTCCTTATATTGTTTCTAGATTACGACATTTTGAGAAGAGGAGAAGTATATAGAGACATAACAGGACCAAGAACTGGTCTGACTGCTGTTGGTATTTCCTATCGAGTACACAGGAGTGGCCTTCAAAGCAGAAGGCACTTTAAGTGTAACAGCAGTAACAACACACCTGAGAAACAGCCCGTTGAAAGGAGCAGTGTGAAATCGTGGCTATTCACACGGATCCTAAATGGATCGATAGTTTCAGTGAACATGGTCAGTGATGGTCACTAACCAAACATTTCTGCTTTTCTACAGGATGTCAGGAGTGATCCCTAAGGACGGTAAGAAAAATTTTGATTTAAAGAGGGACTTCAATGTGTTAGCAGTGCATTTTTTTTTCCATAGTTGATTTTTTTTTTCCTCCTGCAACAGCAACCCTGAGCAGTGGAAAACTTCGCGTGGAAGACGATGCAAAACCCGCTTCTACTGCACGTGAAAGGAGATTCCAATAAAGAAATCCTGAATCCCCTCTTGCATATGACACCGTCTAAAACCAGCCCAGCCGACACACTGGCTGATGCTATGAGAAACAGCCTTTCACTTTTGCCAGATCCCAAGAACGTAACCCAAGAACGTGTAACAGCTTGGTCTCTCTCCTCAAATCTGCTGTCCCTTTTCAGTCATCACTTGGCTCTACGGGTCAAGGATGACCAGCTTGGCTTCTGTCAGTAGCTCTATCGTTTCCTTATGAAAGAACCCATGTAATAAAGTTTCTGTGCTGCTTGTGCAAATACATCCAGTCCAATGGTGTTTTTTTGAAGTCAGGATGGCATCGCCATACACACGGCCATACACCCTCCCGAACACAGCACCTCCTGTCACCCTGTCACCCAGACCAGGAGATGCCCAGAGGATAGTAACAACAAAAACAATAATAACTTTCATAATAATAAAGATGATGAACAGACAGATATAAAGTGCCACTAGATTCTCCCAGGAATCTGAAGCTAATGTCAGTAAAAAGCTGAGAAGATAACACAAAAAATCCTTAAGCTCTTTGTTCTGAATTCAAAGTGCACAACATGACTACAACTCATGCACGAATACCATGCACCTTTGAAAAAAGTAATATTTTTCCATATATATATATATATACACACATTTATGTCCCTGCACTTCCTTCAGTGAAAAGGCAAATTCCCTTAGCTCCTGAAGCACGAGGCACAGTTCAGGTGAAACAAACTGCTCCAGCGGAGTCTGCTGTGACTCTTTAGGTTTTCGTACATGAAGCCGAAACTCACCAGCCTGTGGAGTCTGCTGTGACTCTTTTGGTTTTCATACATGAAGCCGAAACTCACGAGCCTGTGCCATTGCTGGAGGCTGCCTCCTCAGCAGCAAGTTAGTCTGCAAATCTACACCAGGGAAACTGCAGAGAGACACTTTTTTCCCTAGAGATTTAAGAGGCCAGTAAATCCCAACTTCAGAAGCATATCAAACATTTACATAAATGCTGTATTTTGCTAAGATAACCTGTTTGGAAAATTTGTTGTTAGCCTCATCACTGGGTATTTCAATCCACATTATATTACCTACAAAAATTATAGAATTTCTAGAATTATGTATTTTATTTTCCTTCCAACGTTCTTAGAGCCACTATTTTTCTCTATTTTCTGACATTTACACAAAAAGATCTGCACCGCTGGCACCAGCCCCACAGTGTAGCTGTGCCCGAGCTGCAGGACCACGGGCATTCCACTGGAAAAAACATACGGTGCTGCCGGTAGTGTCGCTGGGAAGAACTGAGAACAGGTTCTTGCAAACTTCAGCAAAGCAACATCCCAATCTGCGCTCTATAAATTCAGTTCAGTTTGCTTTTCACGTTCCAACGCAGTAAAACAAGCACAATTCCCAAATCAAGCAGGTCGGGACCAAGCGTTCCTCGGCTCCCGCTAGCGCGGGCCTGCCCAGCAGCTCCCCAGCTCCCCAGAGCGCTTTGTACGAAACAGGGAGAAGGGACCATCTAATGGTGCCATCTGCTGACAATGTTCTATTTTCTTCATTTATATTCTTCATTCTGTACTCTGCGGATTCAACAGCTGACTGGAACCGAGTCCCTCAGAGGCAGCCTGACGAAGGGGAGCCGTGCCCAGTTCTGAAGTCAGGCTTCTGGTCGTCTCCAAGGATCCGCAGCACGTGCTGATGCAAAGTGAGTGGCATCTTTTCCAGGTTGAAAAGGCTCAGAGGATCCTGTGTGCCAGATCACCTTCGTTTGGTTCTACTTGCCAGAAAAAAGACAATTCTGATGGCGTGATATCCTGTGAAACTATCAGGGAGCAAGCCAGAGGCTGCTGTGCCCCACAAGCTGCCAGCCTCTCTGCCCGCCAAGGTGTGAATCTCACGGAGTAACTTCATGTGAAACAACGGATTCATTTTATTTCACTTCACGTAACATTACGTACGTGTCTATGCACTTATGTTTCAATGCAATATTTCACAGAACACTGGCTTGCTGAGCCGCCAGGCTAGAAAATTCAGGCTGAAATCAGCCTCTGGTGAGATGAACTGAGCAGCAGGGTATCATTGGTTCTATTATAATTTGGGGTTTTTTTCAAGTTGGCCTTCATTTTTGATCTGGTGCTTCAAGCTCCTCTCGCCCGCACGCAGCAGGGCTGATG